AAAGTCAGAGACAGCTGGAGGGGTCTGACCTGTGGACTGTGGAAAAGGAAAGGAAACGATTCTCCTTGAGCTTCCCACCCACTAAAAAAAGGAATGGAGTCCTGCCAACAAACTTAAGAGTAAGATAATAAATGTGTGTTGTTTTAAGCCATTAAATTGTGGTGATTGGTTATAGCAGCACTAGGAATCTAATGCCAGGTTGAAGAACAGTACCAGGTTGAAGAACAGTACCAGAGTCAATGTATGTGAGGTAGCAGATGATACAGGCCCACTTCTGAGTAAGAGAGGAGGATGGACATGAAAATGAGAATACATGAGACAGGGATCAGAGATGGTTAAAGCAACACTAATGCAAAGTAATACAACTCTGCACTGGAATGGCAGGAGGACAAAAGGAGACTGTGGGAGAGTGAATCGGCAGTGCTCAGTGACATCCTGGAGACCTTCAAGTTTCAACACAGGCTCCATGGTTCTGAGCCTCGCAGGTCCCTAGTGTGGCAGGGAGGGTACAGAGGGCTGTGTTTAAAGAATGCCCTTAAAAATATGATCCACAGGAGAAATTCTCAAACTTCAACCAGCATGAAGATGCTGTGTGGGGCTGGCTTCCCATGGAGATTCCTGGGCTCCTTCAGATCTGACTCAGTGTGTCTGGGGCAGGGCCCACGAATCTGCACTTAGGTGATCCTAAGTTCACACTCTGAAAAATACTAATCTAGAAAAATAAGAAAGAAAAGGAATGAAATGCTCATCTTAGCTCTAAAAGAAATTTTAAAATCTTAAATAAAGTCTGACCACATGAAAATATAAAATTCTTGCTGGGGATTTAGCTTAGCGGCACCATGCCTGCCTCACAAGCGCAAGGTCCTGAGTTCGATCCCTGGTACCAAAAAAAAGAAAATATAAAATTCTTGTGGATTAAAATAACTACCATACTCAAAACCCAAAAGACCTTTGGTGAAAAATATTTTCAGTAAATGACTAATATTTTACTAATAGGCCACACAAATTAATAAGCAAAAAACTGAGACCCCAGTAGACAAAGAGAAAGCACATAAAAACAGACAATTCAAATAAGAAGGACTTCAAATATTAAACAAATTTAAGAAATACCAATCAAAATAATAAAAGGCAACATAAACACTTGCTAAATAAATAAATATAATTTCTAGAGGAATAATATTCAAAATCAATGAGATGGTATGAGCTTTATACTTCTATACTTGCTAATTGTACTATATATCTGTTACAACCATTTTGGAAAGTAATTTGAAGGGAGACATGGTGGTGCATACCTATAATCCCAGTACTTGGGAGGCTGAGACAGAAGGATGGCTTTAAGTCTGAGGCCTTAGTGAGTGACTACATAGTTGAGTTCAAGGCAACTGAACTACACAGCAAGACCCTGTCTCAAAAAAATAAAAAAAGTTAAATTAAATTAAATTTAAAAAGAGAGATAAAAAAAAAGAGAGGATGTAATTTGGTAACATTTGTTGGGAAATATTAAAAGAACCATATGCTTTGACAGAGGAGTGCTTCTTTATAATCTAGCTTAAGGAAATAGCCTTGAATATGGAGAAATATATAGGTATAGATATGTAGATATCGACTATTGAGAGCTCACCATGGGTTGCACACGGGCTGTTTATCCTAGTAAATTAGCACTCCACTCTTATGTCACAGATGAGGATATGAGGTACAGGCAGATCATATTACTTACTCAGAACTCAGAGCTTGGAGGGGGTAAAACAAGCTTGGGAGTTTTCTGCTTCCATAGCCCATGCTTCCCTTCCATACCTTAGATACACCACATGGGAACAAGGTGAGCACAGCAGGGTTTATTTTTCAAAAATCCAATTAGATAACTAAAGGAAAATAGCAACTGTATTAAGATAGTAGAAACAGCATTAGGATAAACAGGTAACAAGGAGTTATTTCCCTGACCTCAACCTCCTGTACAATTCAGCATTCACTGAGACCCCCCCACCTAGGGATTGAATCTAGGGCCTCTGCACTCAACTACATCCATAGTCCTTTTTTAAATTTTGAGACAGGGTCTCATTAAGTTGCCAAGGCTGAGTCTGAACTTGAGATCCTCCTGCCTCAGCCTCCCAGAGTGTTGGGATTACAGACATGTCCCACTATCCCTAGCTAAGATTTAGCTATGTAATCTAGGAGTAACTTGAGGAGAAAATAATTTCATATAGAAAAATCATTTTTAAATTTCTCCAAATGACAGAAAGAAATCCTAAGAAAAGTGTAAACAATATTGTAATATTCTTAACTACAAAAGTTTAGTCCATATAATTACTATGGACTTTCTTCACGATGTTGAATAGGAGATAGCTTTGGTTTCTGCCTCAAAATTAGCAGTGACAATCAGCTAGGGGCATTTTTGTGTGCATGTGGCACAAAGAGAGAAGTCACACAACCATCATCCCAGAGGTGCAAGGCGCTTGCTAACAGTTCATGTGTTACTTTAACGTCGACTTGGGGACACTGGGTAAACACTATTAGCAAAAGAGAACTATAATGTAGAATGTAAAAAAGATCAGGGCAGGCAAAAAAACAAATTGTGTACACTGTAGAAATGGCTGGTAATTTCAAGAAAATTAGGTGACAATAGATTTAACTACATTTAAAAGGAAAACATTTCTCATAAACATATAACATTCATAGCCTGCCACAAATTCAAATATGGAAATTGAGAGAAACAAAATTGTAATTAAAGGATAAGGTTCACAACAGGACAACAATAATCAGTAAGTCTGTGTTTAGTGTGATATTTTACCCATCTCAATCCTCCTTTGGACAGTTTTACAGTCGAGATGACAGTGCAATGTTTATTTTTATATCTTACTATTGCTTATATTGAATTGCCTTTTATAGTTACCTTTTTGCCAACTCTAATACAGTCACAATGGAGCAAGTAAAGGAGACTTCTAGCAGTGGCTATTCCCTCTGTAAGGCAGAAGATTTGATAATGCATCCCAACAAAAACTGCTCCATAGATCTACTTTTATCTCTATGTTCCTTTAAGGATGTCTAAAATATTTTAACAAAGCTGCTAAAACTATGCAAAATTGATAAATGTGAGAAATTTTACTCTATGAACTCTGAAAGACCTCATTATATAATTATAAGCCTGCTCAACTCATTAACATAACTGCAGAAATTAAGAGAAGAGTAAGTCCTAGAAAACTCAGGAATGTTTTCAATTATGATCATTGAGAACTGCCTGTGCTGACTGGGGAAAGGATCCTCTGCTGCAGAATAAAATGAGTCATTTTGGAGAAGAGAAGAGGGGGTGTGAGACTCCATTCAAGCATCCTGGGCAGCTCAGGACAGGCCTGACCTGCAGTCACACCGCTGTGCCTATGTCGTGTGGTCCCCCAGTGTCTGGACAAGACAGTGGGGCTGGTGCAATGGGTGCTCAGCCAGGGGTCAGGAAGGACCCTGCACGTAACAGACTGCTGGGTCTAGACCCCTGGGCAGAAGCAGAGCAGAATGGGTCTTAAATCTCCCTGTAGGGACTTGGTTCACCAGGTACCCAGCAGAAACCTCTCTAGAACCTGTTTCCTCTAAAACAAACAAAAACAGAATTCCATGGAAACAGAATTCCATGAGAAGGAAGTGAGACCCAGATTCTGGGTCTTGCTTCTTTCCGAGTCCCCTGGGGTTGGTGCTTTGGTACAGTCTGCGGGCAACACTTGCATAAATCTGTATTCACCTGTATTGTTTCATTTGGAAGTAAACCTTGGCTTGAAAAGAATCTTATTGGAGAGTTAAGTGTGACTTATCTCTTGCCTTCCTGACAGAGAAGTGCAGGGAAACAGGCTAATGAGTCTGTCTGTAATAATCCTGGTGAAGTTCATGCAATTCTCTATTTTCCTGATTATAAGGTAAGAAAACTTAGTTTAAAAAATACTAAAGAACTTATAATACAGAGCTAGTACACGACTAGGTTATTTATATACTAGTATTTCTCAGAAAATTTAAGAGGTCATTAATGAAATTAAGAGAAAAAATTTTCTTAATATACTTCACATACATACTATCAAACCATCTGATTTTTTTTTTTTTTGGTACCAGGGATCAAACTCGGGACCTTGCTTGCAAGGCAGGTGGCAGAACTGCTGAGCTAAATCCCTGGCCCCCATCTGATTTCTTATTTAACAAAGGAAATAAAGAAATTGAGTTTTGTCATGCATTGTGTGTATTTATTTTATTTGTATCTTTCATATGTATGGGAGTATAATATGTCCATACATATTCCAAATATATGAAAGAAAAAATAGTAAAATTGTACTCATACCTAGTGATTTTCTGGGCAATTTCATAAGGTATTTCTAGTTATTAAATAATTTTTAACTCCCTAATAATAATTTATAAACTGTAAAAAAAAATCAGGGTAGATGATAAAGTATTCAGTTGTCTGATCATTTCTCCCTCCAGTTATTATTTCTGAGTCTCTGCTTCTTTCATCTAATACTTTAGTGAAATGTATCCTAGAACTGAAACATCAAAAGAAAGCTACCAGCTATAAGCTTCTTTTACATGCGTTCCCCAGTTCTTGAATACACGTGTACCTGTATATTATCTTTTCCAGGTACATGTATGTATAAATTGAGTTAAATAAATTTCTTCCTGTAAAATGATCATTTGCTTTTTTTCCCTATAAAGTATACTAAGTATATTTCATGGATTAAAACAGGGCTAGGATTTTATTCTCTTTGAACATAAAACATCTAATACAATACACTGCAAAGAGCTCACAGCTTCAGATTTGTGTATGTAAGTAGTCACAACCAAAAACCCACCTACTATAGAAAGCACTCCTTTAAGTGACTGAACAATGTCTTTAAAAACAATTTATGTCATGATAAGAGAAACAATTTATGTCATGATATATACACAGCAAACACTAGAATCACAGAAGAGTTCTTAATATTATGCCATCTGCCATACACAGAAAAGGAGAAAAAGAGCAAAAACCAAGTTACCTTTTTGTGCAAGGCATGAAACTCGCTGTACCTTTTTTCAACAAAATGTTTTCTTCCATTCATTAGCACTTCTATCTTAAACACCTAAGGAAAAAATTAAAGAGATTAATTCTACTAGTTCAAGACCCTCAATTGTCTGATGTGGTAAGTTTGTGACCATGATATATTTCATCCCTTAATTACAGTAGTGGATTTCCCCCAAACCCAGAAGGCTCAGGAGACCCTGGCCCAACAGCACTGATTAATGAGCACTCAGACCAAATGCTCACTAACCAACTGCAGGATTTTCCAAAACCATGTTTAAAATCAAGGGACACTTAAAAGCACTGAAATACTACTTAATTTTTTAAGCAGAGATGTTCTTCCCCTAAAAATTATTTTATCAAATGTATGATGACACTGAAATTAAAAGTGTGATACAACAACTATGTTATCTGCTAAAAATCTCAGGCATGTGGCATTCTGTTATGGGTATTTCAATGCAGTCAATACCATGTCATGTGTAAGACAATCATGCAAAGAGTAGTGCATTTTAGGTTAATTTCTTCCTAACCAGCATATTCGTCTGTAGTCTCAGCTGGGCTTATTCTGCTGTTTGCAAAACAGGAAAAATGTAATAAAGCCTCATTTTCCCTGCATGATGCAGGTGACAGCTTGTGCTCCCACCTCCAGAAGGTTGAGAGGCCAGAAGCAAAGGCCCTCTGAGCACACTAATTAGAAGAAACTGACGTGACACTTTTTTGATTCTTGGGTCAGTGGGTCAAGACTGGGAACAAGGGGTGAGAAGTACTGTGAAATGCTCAAGAAAATACAATGTTCAGGTCAGGCATGGAGGGATGCTTGGCAGGGACTGAAGAGCAGGTGCTCTGTTAGTCCAAGAGTTTGTATCTGACCCTTATTTTGCTAAGTGAGAGTTTGTAAACATCAAGGTGAAAGAATATTGTTTAATTATTTGATAAAACTAATTTCATGTTTTAATGGCCCTTTTAGAAAAAACAAACTGAACTGTAAAGTTACATGACACTAGAATATAAAAAACTGCTTACTTTAAGCCTAAAAATAAGAACTAGTCAAATTTAACATAAATAAGGTTACATATTTTCACTATGAAAACAGAGCCAAATGATTCTATATTTCTGCATTATATGTCAACATTACTATTTTAGAAATTGTTATTAAACATAAACTCTACATTAAGAAATGTTTCCATTTTCGTACTTTTCTGAAGCAAGAGCAAAATATTTCAAGTACATGACTCACTTTAAGTAACCTGGTTTTAAATAACTAGAAAATATTTTACCAATTTAATCAATATTTTATGTATTTAATTTTTTCAATAAATCTCCCTAAAGAAATACTTTTCTTTGGTGAATTGATGAAAATGTTTTCTTCTACAAAATATATGCATGTGCTTCAAACTCTCTGACATACATCTATTATTTTTAATAATTCTGCTTATTAATAATAATAAATAATTACTCTTTTTAAATAATTGTTTATTAATTCACTAAAGAAAATCCTTCTTCCGAGACTGCCAGAAATACAATCAGAAAAACACCCCAAGATACACAAGCAAGAGTGACAGAGCTTTAACTTAGGGCTTGGTCAATCAACTAGAGTCCCCTTTTTAGTGTCAGCTCCCTGATTTAAATCAGGACAGTATGGTAGCAATAAAAGTAGTTTCTATCTGCCGAGATGTATGAAATAAGTGAAGTTATGTTCTAGGTCTAGTTATTTAAAGGTTTGTCACAAAAGACACTACTTCAACTGGCACATTTGCCATGGAGTCTACTGAACAGGGAAGAGTTCGAAGACTCAGTAACCTAGCGGGCCTCCTGAACCTGCTCCTTCCTGCCAGTCACAGAAATGACGCACCATGTAGTCTGCTGGAGACACCTCATTCCTTTGCCTGACCAGAGGCTTCCATAACCAAGTCCCACAGGTACTGTTCACACAGTGGGAAGCAGAGGGGTGGGGATATACCCAGACACGAAGGAGAGTTTATTATAAACTTTGACTCTTTATTATGTTATCATTGAAAAAATACACGGTATACCTAGTACAATTAAGACTTTGTCTTCTAAATTCTGGGAAAATATCTTAGAAAGACAGTTAGACAACCAGGATTTCCACGGTAAATTGAAGAAACGAAGTCAATATAATAAATCCTATTTTTCTGAATTATCATACCAGACTTTTAAAAAATCATTCTAATTTTCTGACATCTATTGTTTCCGAAATGTAAAAAAAAAAAAAAACCCTTTTCTCACTTTCCTCTCCTAGAAAATTCCCAGTGTTGTCTAACTCATAAGGCATTTGGAAGGAACCCAAAACAGTATCTGGAACTCATTTGCTTATTTATTAAGCAGATATTCACTGAGGGCCTAGAATGTGCCTGGGAATTGTTCTAGGCCCAAGATTTAGCAGCGAACAAAACACAAGAGGCAGCCTTCATGGAGCTCGCACCCTATGCTGAGGGAGGCTGACCACACATGCACGAACAAATACGCTGCCAGGCAGCACTGCACTCCGCAGAGCCACACAGCAGGACAGGACTCAGAGCCTGACAAGAGCTATTCAGACAGTGAGGTCCAGAGGAGGCCCCCAAGCACACAGGCAGGGAGGGGCACAGAACCTGGGGGTAAGAACCAAGAAAAAAGGGTACACGAGTTAGTATCTTTAGTAATATAAAAATACCTTGCATCCCCCCAAATACCCAGCACGAATAAGATAAAATTCACAAAGTCTAGCATCTAATCAAAAAGAATCACCGTGGGTGGGGGATGCAGCTCAGTAGTAGAGCACTTGCTTAGCATGTGTGAGATGCGGTCTGATCCCCAGGACTACATTTAAGATGAAGCAGCTCAAAAATACAACTCACAATGAGAAGAAAACAATCAACTGAAATAGACTCAGAAACAACACAAGACAGTAAGTACACAAAGGCATCAAAATTGTTGTTGTGAGGGAATTCCTTACATTCAAGACCCCAGAAGATAGGCTGGCCATGTTAAGGTATGAAAGGGAGACAAGGAACCCCAACAGCTCTGAGTCCCACTGATGAAATTATCAATGTCTGTGATTAAAACACACACACACACACACACACATACACACACACACCATAGGACTCAGAGCAGAAGAAAAGATTAGTAATGAAGACCTGGCAGTTGAAACTATCCAAAATAAAACAGAAGGAAAAATATTTACAAGTAGATAAAGAAACAGTATCATTGAAATATGGAACAATACTAAAACACATGAAACTGCAATCCCCAAAGGAGGGGGTGGATGAAGATTAGAAAAAAAGGGCTGGGGATTTAACTCAGTGGTTCCAGTGCCTGCCGCGCAAGCACAAGGTCCTGAGTTCGATCCCTGGTACCAAAAAAAAAAGAATAAAAGATTAGAAAAAAAGACAAATACATATGAAGAAATCATGGCCAAAATTTATCCCAATTTGATGAAAATTATAAACCTATAGATCTAAGATCAATGGACACCAGAAACTTGGAAAGCAACTACAAAAATCAAAGGCATATCGTAATCAAATTGTTTAAAACTAGTATGAAAGAGAAAATCTGAAATGCAGGCAAACAGAAAAAAGGAACATTATACAGAAAAAGAAAAAGTATTGTGACAGCAAACTCTCTAATACTACTACAAATCAAAATCAGTGCATATATACTGAAATTATATTTTTAAAAGATTTTTACAGGACTTATTTTGTGCAGGCACCATCCCTACCTCTACTCATTTTAATAACTCATTTAATTCTCACAACAACCCTTTGTGATAGGTACTATTACTGCCATTTTTCAGGCAAGGAAACATTAAGTAAGCAAATGGAGAGATTACACTCTTGACCATGGTGGAGCTGCATTTTGAGCCCTGTTTTTTGGCTCCATTCTATTTCTTAACCACTGCACAACACTGACTTCCAGTGAAGAGACTCCCCAGTATAGTGCTCCTTTTCATGGGGAAACTGATCACTTGGAAGAGGAGAAACGCTGAAATATTCTGGAGTGAGGACCACATGTCCTGTCCCTTCTCCTCTTGAGGTTCAGTCTTTGGGGGGGTGTGGTTTTCAGGGAACAGACCTAGGAGGAGGAGGGGACACACAGTCTTTACTCCCAGTGACTTTGAGCCTGTGTACCTGAGAAGTAAGAGGGTGAGAGCAGAACGGTAAGTGAAGTGAATCAGGTACACAAGCTTAGATATAATATGCTTTCTCTTGTATGAGAACCCCAAACTATAAAGTGTAAAATAAAGATAGATAATAGGAAGTAGGAAGATAGATCTTTCTTAATTGGGAAGGGGATCAAGAGACGGAGGAAGGTTTCTCTTGCTGTGCAGAAGCTTTTTAATAAGAACAGATCCCACTTGTTGATTGTTTGTGCTAGTTCACATGCAACTGAGGTTTTGTTCATAAAATCTTTTCCTACACCGATGTTTTCAAGAGTTCTACCTAACCTCTCTTTCAGCCGGTTTGGTGTTTCTGTTTTAATATTTAGATCATTAATCCATTTTGATTTTAGTTTAGTGCATGGTGAGAGGTATACGTCTAGTTTTAATCTTTGGCAAGTTGAAACACAATTTTTCCAGCACCATTTATTAAAGAGGCTATCTTTCCTTTGGTGAGGGTATTTGGCACACCAGAAAGAATAGCCGCTATCATGAAATCAACCAATAACAAATGCTGGTGGGGCTGTGGGGAAAGAGGAACCCTTTTCCACTGCTGGTGGGAGTGTAGACTGGTGCAACCACAGTGGAAATCAGTATGGAGATACCTCAAAGGACTAGGATTGGAAGTCCTATTTGACCCAGCTATTCCCCTGCTGGGTATCTTCCCAAAAGAATTAAAAAGAATCATACCACAGTGTTATACATGCACCCATGTTCAGAGCAGCACAGTTTGTAATAGCTAAAACTTGGAAGCAGCCCAAATGCCCATCAACTGGATACTGGATAAAAAAAAAAAAATGTGTTTTTAAAAAATAAAATGGACCTAGAATAGCAAAAGCAATTCTATGCAACAGAGACATGGCTGGGGGTATCACAATCCCCAACATGAAACTATACTACAA